CAGCTTTTTTTTCAATTTGAGCAATTCTAATAGATGTGTAATGATATATAATTGTGGTTTTATTTGCAAGCACTACGCTGTACAGATGCTTCCCTGTTTCCACACTACATTCCATGTTCTGCTGTGTATGCTCTAGGATGTGCACCCCGCCCAACGTTTCACCATCAGTTCTCCCAATAATGGACACTCCAGTGGTCTCCCAATAATACCATGAAGCTTATTTTCTTTATTCATTATGATCTCATATATGTCAGTATTTCTTTACTTTCCTTTTATCATCAAGTTATTTCACACATAAGGGAAAATAATATCCAAACAAATAAACAATATCCAAATCATATCCAAAAATCTTCTTGCATAGACTAGATTGTCAGAGTTTCTCACATAGACCCTATGATAAATGGACAATTGATGTAATTGTCTTCAAAAAAGAATTGAATAAATTATTATGACTTCCAGTTTGTTTTCAATGACTTCTTTCTTCCTTTCTCCCTCCCTGTCTTGCTTTCTTCTGTACTTCTTTCCTTTCAATTCATTCTCTCAAAAAATATTTATTGAAGGCCTTTGCCTCTAGTACAGTAGTCCCTGTTCAAGCCAGGGGTATACACAAACAAGGGAATGGCCCTGTAGCAACTGACAATCCAGTGTAGGGTGTGTTGGGAGAGGAGGAAACATGGGAACATACACACAGACATACAGAAAAGAGTTATCGTGAAAACAGGCAAGAGTGTGTAGCCAGATCTGCCTCGGTGAGTTAGGGAAGGTTCCCCAAAGGAGATAAAAATTTGAACTAGATGTTGAAGGATTAGTAGAAGGGAACAGCAGAGGGCATAAAAAACACTTGTCATGTTGAGGATCTGGTGAGTAGTTCAAAGTCACAAAGACTGGGGTTCATGAAAGTGGACAGTGGGAAGAATGGATAGAAAAAGAAGACGGATTCAGATTGAGATGGGCTTTGCAGGTCTTATTTTGTTATTTAGACATCAAAGAGCCGTTGAGGGTTTTATAACAAAGTAGACTTGATTAGACTTGTATTTTAGAACTATGACCTTGGCAGTGTAGACCAGAGAGGTATGAAACTGCTAATAGGAAGACCAATTGCAAGGCTGTTGCAAAAGTTCAAGTAAGAAATACTGAAGACCCACACAAAGGAATGGCCTGTTTTCTACATAAGTTGTCTATTTGTGAGGAACAAGGAAAAAAATGTAAAATCTGGGAAAGTAGAACTATATTTGGCATGTAAATTAGAAAAGAAAAAACACCAGCAATCATATAAAAAGTGACATAAAGGATCCTTGTGGTGACAGAACTGTTCTTTATCCGGCAGTGATATACAAACTCATGTATGTGGAACTAAACATGCAAACATGCACAAGGAGATCCAAGTAAACTGGGGAAATCTAAATAAGATTGTAGATTGTTGTTACTACTGTAATAAACTGGGTAACATTTACATAGATCTTTGTGTTATTTTGTATAACTGTGTGTATATCTACAATCATTTCAATAAAAATTTCGGTTAAAAATGATAGCAAAATAAAGAAATTTTCAACTCCTCCCCCCAAATCTATTAATCCTTTTTGGATGTAGAGAGAGAACATTTATTTTATTTTATTTTTAAATTTCTTTATTGAATGAAAATTTTTTTAAATTCTATAGTACTTTACAATTTTTAAAACTTTTACACACATGGTTTCATATAATCCAATAATAACCCTTTTTTTCTAATCCTCTACCCTCTGTATTGCCCTTCCCCTCTTTTAGAGGGAGAAATTTAAGGCAACTTGTCCACAGTTCCCCAATGGCAGTCTGATTGATTTTATGTTGTATTTACAAAAAATTTAGAAAAAGTAGAAAAAAATAAAAGCATCAGATTCAAAACTAAGATAAGGTATTTAAATGTGCAGTTTTTAGATGATAATTATTATTGGTGCCATTAATATTTTATATGCTGATTCATTGCGAGGGGAGAAATTAAACATTTATTGGGTACTTACATGCAGCCATTGTTCTGGGGGCTTTCGTACATTTCTCTATTTCATGCTGATGAATGGGCAAATTTTATTAGAATTATTCATGCACTTTACAGATGGGGAAGCCTAAGGGTCAGAGTGTGTAAGTACTTCTGCAAGATCATAGTGTTAGGAAGAACCTAAGGATGTCTGACTTCCAAGCCCTATGTGCTTTCCTGCTACTTAGGGACTACTTACAGACACAAGCACAGTAAGACAGCATCTCTGTCATTGACTTGTCTGGTTGATTTCTATGGTGAGTGTACCCAATCTTTGGAAATGTGGAAATATAGTACTTTTGTGGCAATCGATGTGGATTATTTCAGCTCTGGAAAACATGTTTTCAACTTGTGACAAGGTAACTTTTGATAAAACATTTTGCAAAAATTGAGTCAGATCTGATTAGACTTCAGAGCAGTTCCTTCAAGCTTTAAACAAAAACAAAAACAAAAACAAAAACAAAACCTCAGGAAGAGATAATGTTTAACTTTCGTTTACTGTATGTCAGGTACCATGTTAAACAACTTACATGCTGTTTAAAATTTCACACAAAATAGGGACGAAACTTGGCCTATTTGACTCCAAAGCCACACTTCTAAACCACTGGGCTAAAATGCTGTGAGCATCTACCAAATAAAAATGATAGGGAATGAAGAAAAAAAGAAACTTTAACGAAAAGTTTAGCATGGTCCAAGATCAGTGACCAGGGCCACCATTTATTATAATTAAATTACATGAGTTAACTGCATTGTGTGATTTGGGATCCTAAGGGCGTCTGAGCCATGTGAAAAGCTCAGTGGTATATTCAGGCCAATCACCTTTTACTTTCTCTCATTTTCTTCACAGCTCTTTCACATACTGATATCTAAAATTATTTAATTACTTGTCTATCACTTGCCCCACCTCACCAGAACATATGGTCATTAAATTAAGAAACTTTTCTTTCTTGTTCAATGCTATATTTCCAGTGTCTCTGGTTGTTCTTGGCATATAAAGATTTGTTGAATTAATGAATAAATGATTGTCCTTCCCTGGGCTTAAGTGGTAGAGATTTAGACTTAAAACGGTGGTTCAAAAGATCACATTAAAAGGCATGCCTTATAGCAATTTATTAGTGTTTCATGTCTTAGATAAACTGGGATAACTGAAAGAAGTGGAGGAGGAAGCTGGAGGGAGGAGCCGGAAGAGAAGGCTGGAGAAAAGGGGAAAGAGAGAACATAAACTGGTAATGATAAGCCCTTAAATATGGTGGTGGGGTTGAAGTGTCAGAAATTAGGAGCCTTAGGTCAGTGCCTGAAATCGGTGGGGTGTGCTGGAGTGGGATAGAAACCATCACAAAGGCTAACTTCTCAATTTGGTCTCTGAAGTTCAAACCACAAAAGTTTATGGAAAGGAGGTGATTAGCTTTGAGGGGAATGCAGTGCTCTGGAGGCCTCCACTGAGATTAGTGCCAAGCGTATTGGCATATTGGGCACTGGTCTACCTAGTTTATATATTGTAGATTCTTCAAGAGGAGTCAGTGATACTGCTATAATCCATGTTAGCCTTATATCATTGTCGAGAAGGAAGTATATGAAGAAAGGTTAAGGAAAACAAAAGAATCACATATGAAGAATCAAAATGAATGGATACATTGAGGCATCTGTAGTACAGAGTGGGAAAGGCAACTAACTTCAACTAGGTTGGTGAGTGCCCCGGAAAAAAACTGTATGCTCTAAAATGGAACAGTTGCTGAAGGTGAGAATTACAGTAGATGACTCCAGCAGTCTGAAGTTTCAAGGAATACAACATTTAGAGAAGAGTTCTCAAACTTTTAAATCTCAGGACCCCGTTACATTCCTAAAAGTTGAGGACCTCAAATGACTTTTATGTGCATTACAGATGATTATTCATTGTTTCATTTTAAACAAGCCAATTAAATGTTCAAATAATCTTTTATATAAAAAGTAATTACTTTCCAAAACAAAAAAATTGAGTAGAGTGGCATTGTTTTGTTTTTGCAAATCTCTCTGGTTGAACAGCAAATGACTGGATTCTAATATTTGCTTCTGTTTTGAATGTTTCCGTATCACATGCCACCTAGTCTGTGGAAAACTCCACTGGACACTTATGAGAGAATCAGCGTACCAAGCCAAATAACATTTGAGCATTATTATGTAAATACTTGACTTCCCCCTTGAAAGGGCCTGGGGACCCTTGGACCACACTTTGAGAACTTTTTTAAGAGCTAGTATTAGTCAATCCAGCTTCAATTGAAACATAGCCAGAGGTTTCACAGGCCCTGAGGATTTACATTCTCAAAAAGATGAAACAAATGTCCTCATTATAAAGCACCCAGAAAGTAGATAAACATGCTATTTTCATCCATCAAAAGAACTAAAACATACAGAGGGATTGTGAGTCAGGTAAGACGTAAGAGCGGTAGGGACGAGAAGCATCCCCGGAAGCCATGGAGAACTACTGAGTGAGGAGTAACAAGACCGGCAGAGGACGGCCGCAGGGGTGTCGGGAGGAAAGAACTGTTGTTCTTAGGGGGAAAAAATGGGCGGGGAGAGAAAATGGTTACCGGGGGCCGGGGAGTTGGGGGAATTAGGCCGGGAACTAAGGAGCGCTCGCCGTCACGAAGCCGCAAGGCCGCACCTCGCGGCTGGCCCCGCGTCCTCACCCTTCCCGGCAACAAGACCTAGGGGGCGAGGTGGGCCGGGAGCGAGGCGTGCGGGTCACGGCCCTTCTCGGGAACGGGAGCGGCTGAGTTCCCTTCCGGAGAAGCAGGGAGAAAAGAGACGGAGGGAGGCGTAATAGGGGATGGAGGCGGGAACCCGAGTAACCCAAGCCTCGCGCAGAGGGTTTGGAGGTCGCGGGGGGTGGGGGGTGGAGAAGAAGGACGGTTCTGTTGCTGGGCAACCCATCCTGGGCCCGCCTCCCGCTCGTGTTGCCAGGAGACAGCGAGGCCGGGGGGAGGGCGGCGGAGCGGGCCCTACGTGCTGACGCTAATTGTATATGAGCGCGAGCGGCGGGCTCTCGGGTCTTTTTTAGCGCCATCTGCTCGCGGCGCCGCCTCCTGCTCCTCCTGCCGCCGCCCTGAGTCACTGCCTGCGCAGCTCCGGCCGCCTGGCTCCCCGTGCTCGCCACCGGTAATGGATGGGGACCCGAAAGGAACGGGGGGACGTAGAGGCGGCCTGG